GAACGAAGAGGAGAAGAAGAAGGCGTATGCGGGTGACTTTGATTTCGACTCGCCTGATGCTATTGATTTCGAGGAGCTCAAAGACTGTGTCAGAGATCTGCGGTGAGAACATCGGTTATGTTAAGGAGTTGAGTGAGGTTGCCTGGGGGTAGGTCCTGGCATGATGTGCATATCCCCCTGTACGACTTCACTAAGCACGCTAGGAAGGAAGAGACGACAACGTTGAAGGCGCATCAGGTGAGTGCATATCTCAGGTTCATCGAGGAAAGATTCAATTGAGGTCCGTTGTGGTGTCAGGTTATTATTGTCGAGGGAATTCTGATATTCAATGATCCTGAATTGCGTGATCTGATGGACTTGAAGATATTCGGTAAGCTACGGCTGGTCGCCTCCACTCCATTGACTTGTGTGTCCCAGTCGAGTGTGATGCGGATATACGCCTAGCCCGTCGGGTCATCAGAGACATCGCTGAGCGAGGACGTGAACTCGAAAATGTGAGTCCGCGGCATTGGGATGAGATTGTTCATAATCTCCCATGTACATCAGGTGCTCGGACAGTATCAGAGGTTCGTCAAGCCTAGTTACGAGAAGTATGTTGAACCAGGAAAGAGGTAAGGAGCGAAAGATCTGAAAGAAGTGTGGTATTGTTGATCAGGTTCGCCGATGTGATTATTCCGAACATTGGCGAGTCGATCAACTATGTTGCGATTGATATAATATCGCAACACATAAGGCTGCAGTTGGCGGCTCGTAAGAGACATAAGCATCATGTTAGAAGGGCGCATTCTCATTATCGCCATCCGCGTCATGACAGTGCCCTCACCGAAGCGGCTCTGACACCGACTAGGTATTCGACTGATGTAAGACTCCTTTGATTGGTCCATACCGTAACTTTGTCAACTCTCAGGGTGTGCAGGATACATCACATTCGTCTGATGGTGTTGGGCTGCAAGGGCTGTTGATTGATCGAATGAGCCTCAATAGACTCATCAACACGCCTAAGAATTGTTGACTCGTGCTCAGCTGCTCAAGCTTAAAGTGTATTACAATAGAACCATTCCTGTACGACGCCGCTCGCCTGATGCCTTCTGTTTCTATGTTCTCTTACGTCTTGATAGATTACTGATTGTTGAGTGGGGTGATGGTGTATAATCGTTTGGGATTTCGGCCACGATGTAGATAGCGCGCGCCGGATTGGCTATACATCGGAATTTTTACCCATAAACGTTAACGGTTACGTTTGCTTTCTCCTTGTTTTCGTCCTTAGCAACGATTATGTGTTGCCTTT